AAAGCCTTGGACAAGTCGCAAAACACACCTAGAGCATCCTGCGAGTTCTCCCAGGCGTCAAAAATTTGTTGTATAAGTTCAACACCGGCATCGGTTGTTGAACGACCCCGTGTAAAACCAAATTGTTTACAGTGAAGTATATTATATTTATTAAAATGTGATTGCATTTGATCTAACATGATTTTTTCAAAAATTTTACTAAAGGTGGGTAGTACAGAAATTGGTCTAAAGTTTGTGGGGTCTGATGTACTTCCCGTTTTATGCAAAGGAGTAATTTTACTGTATTTCATGAGGTCAGGAAAAACACCACAGTCAACACAATCATTAAATATGCAAGCTAGAATAGGAGCTATTTTCTCAATTACCGATATAGAAACATCAACGGAATTGCCCCACAGATCCGCGGTTTTCTTTTTATTTAATTGGTGAAACGTTTTTATGACATCTTTAAAGTCAACATGTTTAAAATGAAAATAACTAGTACAAGGTTTCACGTTTTCTCTTAAGATTGATTCGGCAGCAATGGGGGAAGAGTTCAAAGATTTCGTAGTTGAAACTGGAATATCAGTAAAGAAATTTTCAAACACCTTAGCAACTTCAATATCTGATGTAACCTTTTTATTATCAATATTTAGGTTATAATTATTTTTGCGAGTTTTGGATTTTCCAGTTTCATTGTTTATAATATTTCATGTCATTTTGATTTTGTCATTACTGTTCTTAATCTTTGAACTTAAATAATTAGATTTTGCTAAGCGGCATACTTTTTTAAACAATTCGGAATAGTTACGAACATGCTCTTTAAATTTTTCACTAGTGTTAGAGTTTCGTTCATTATAAAGTTCATAAAGTGTTCTTCTACTTTTATGAATTCCAGGCGTAGCCCACTTACTAAAATTTACCGCATCATTAACACATATTTTTTTGGGTACAAAAACATTATTAAATTCATCGCAATATATATTAAAAAAATCATTATGTAAATCATTTGGACTGTCTTTATATTTAAGATAACACAATTTTCTATCTAATTGATTTTTAAAACGTTCCACACGATTAGCAGTTTTTGGTATAACAGTGATGTGTTTTTTCGTCACCTGCTTGAGCTGATACGGAAATGTAATCAACTGGTAGGCTCAATGAATAAGTTTTTCAGATTGTATGATTGAATTTTTTTTTTTATTTTAGTACATGAACTAGATTTTTCTAATAAATCAATATTAAAGTCACCACAGACAATCAACCGTTTGCCTGTAGTGTATGTTTTTTTAAGAGCTTCATCCATGATTACTTCAAAACAATCATACAATGCTGATGGAGGTCTGTATACGCTCGATACAACAAGCTGGTCCAGTTCCACACAGGCAATTTCTATTGTTCGCTCAACCGAGAGGCTCACAATATCTCTTCGTTCCTTAAATTTTAGTTTTTTATTCAATAATATTAAAGAGCCACCTCGAATTGCATTTTCTCGATTGAACGAACTACCAACCTGATGATTATTAAAATTAAATATATTTTGATAACTTTTTAGCCAGTGCTCTGTAATACAAAAAATATCTATATTATTACAATTCATAAATAATTCAATTTCTAAGTCCTTACCCATCATTCCTTGAATATTAAGATGCACCAGGTTGATAAAACTTACATTTTTTGCAATGTTTTTGGATGGGTTTCTTTTATCTATATTAACAAAATTGTATTTTTTATTTACATTATTATTTAACAATATGCAAGACGAATTATCTTTTGTCTGATTGCTTAATTTAAACATTTATTATTATTTTGAGTGGTTTCAGTAGAATAATTACTGATTGTCATGTCATTAGAAGGTTGCTCAATAGGAGCAAGTTGTTTAGCCAAATTCTTGGCTGACATAAAAAAGAAATATGATAGCGACTTAGCTACCTGTCTTTTATTATAATTAGAAAGATAATATTTATCTTTTGTCAAATAAAAATTTCTAACATAATTGTTAGAGTCAATCAAATGGTATTTTTTGCTTTTACAAATTGTGTACAAAAGCATATTTAATTAATATCTTAACAAATTTTCCTCTTTTGGCAGACTGTTGCAGTAAGGCAATGTGAACAATACAATTTTTCCACATTTAATGTACTTAAATCTGTTATATATTTTAATAATATTTTTTGTTCAAATTGCCTCTGTTTCCTACAAAAAATAACAAAGTGGGACATTTGCTGTAGCTATGCTTACTTGCCTTTTCTAAAATATCCTTATAAGAGGTACCAGGCATACAGTTAATTGTTATTGAATGTCCCATTTTAGATAAAAGAGGGCCCATATTCTTCCCAATTTCATCACTAAACATTATAATCTTGTTATTTTTATTATCTAAAGATGTGTTTCTTGAGTGAGTTACTTTCACCGGTGTCAAGTGTATACCTATTGGCTGAAGTTGGGAATCAATAGATATAGACTTATGTTGTAAAGTGTAGGAGTCAAAATTGACCGATGATTGAGTTCCCAACTGTTTACAATCACAATTGTTTGTTAATGAATGAAATCTTTCATTATTGTAATTGCATAAATCAATTAACTCATTCATGGCCTGCATGTGTTCCTTCATTTCACATTGTGCTAATTCATATTTTTTGGTTACATTTGAGAGACAATCTTGTAGTTTATCTATTTTACTTTGTAAAATTTGAGTGTCTGTGTCATATTTTAAACTAATGTTATTATATTTTGCAGGAACTACTCAGCGGTTGTCAATCTCTACTCCATTAATGTCAAAAGTAAAGCCACCCTTGTCATGAGAACGTCTTCTATATTGCATTGAGTTAATCCAATGCGCGTTAGAATTAATTCATATAAAAACCTTGCCACACTAGAATCTCCCCTTTAGGGGTAGTTTAGGCAAACCAAAAATGGCAAACTTGATTATTTATTTAGGAAGTGTTCGTACCAAGTTTTAATTCTATAACTCATAGAATACATTTTTTTTAATTTTCGATTTTATTTTTTTTCTTAAGAATAACGGCGTATTCGGATAATATTTATACATGAAAATATTGAAGTTTGTTGTCCATATGTAGAGTATTTTTAATGCAACCGAAAACCGCATTATATACGAATTACAAACAAAAACATTAATTAAACACAATTCCGGTATAAGGGTTGTCACTTCCGGAACTGAGTTTTTTAAAATAAAATGAGTTCCTATAATATATGTTAATAAGCATTCTTGAAACATATATTATATGACCTATTTATTGTTATTGGAGAACAAAGAGAATATAACCTATAGGTATGTAACTAATAAGACTTAAGATAGTTTTTATTACAAAATATTTATGTATTATAAGGATTTACCGACCCAAAATCAGCAGTGTTATTTGTTGTATATTGCATGAACAATTATACAATATTGTGGAGTGACGATGAAAATAATCTTTTTGCTACTACATTTGTTCCGCTGCAGCTCGTGTTAAATGAAAGGGATATTGTTTGGTCTTATCCAGCTCCACAATCGCATAGATACTGCAGACCTATTCATATTCAATATAGGAAGGAGAACAAAGAATTAATTCCAGCAGAAAAAAAAAATTGAAAATCAAATATCTAATTTGCAACTTGCAAGGCAAAACCTCACAAGGTCATAATATACCCGTAAGTTGTGAACTATATTGTGCAGTTATTGACGGAAAATTTTATTAAATACGTCATCCCAAATGCGTTGCCCGTATTGTGCCTTAACATAGACCACCTTCAATAACTTGGACATGGCTTTTTCTAAGCCATTAAATCGAGAGCTATTGATTAACGACTGCAGTCCACTTCATTTTTGGATACGAGTGCTAGAATTTCTCTTACGACTTGACTATAAAATAGATGTAAAAAAATGGCGTATCCCACTCAATTCTATAGATTATGTCAAAGTTGAAGAGCGCAAAAAGATATTCAAAATGAAGTGAGAAAGCAGATGGGTTTACTGGTCGACGTAGTGCGCCCCAATTCGGGTACAACAAATGATGGCAATACAGCACAAATGGCTGTGTCAGACAAGTTCCGCCAAAAATTTTCCCAAATCCTGGGGATCGAACAATGGCTGTTGGATGATCTCCACACATTATGTATTGGTTTTGCCTAGCAATCATGCAATTGATTCCGACCGGTTTAGGGGTTTTTGTAAAAATCTGGCTTATAAGTATGTCGCTACCTATAATTGGTGTCCGATGACCGTAACGTTGCACAAAGTTTTAATTCATGGTGCCGATATTATCAAATCAGCCACTATACCTATAGGGATGCTTTCTGAGCAGGCTGCCGAGACCCGAAATAAATATTGGCGGAAAGATAGGGAGCACCATACCCGAAAAATGAGCCGTGAATTTGTTTAATAGAGCGCTGGAAACATCGGACCCCCTTGGATAACAAACATTCGAATGCAAGAGAGAAAAAATAAAATCAAAACTTGACACCATTGCCATCTGCAGTAGTTTCATTATTAAAAGTGACAGATCCAAGTGACGCAGTAAGGATATTGATTTTGAGGACTACGTCGATTCTTCCGTTATAAATACAGAAATAAATGAATCATTGTAAATATTTATTTATGAGAAGTATATTTATTTATTTATTTATATTTCAATTTCATAATTAAATGGCCGGAATAAATTTTTTGTCAACCAATAAAAAAAAAGTTTTTAGCTCATAACTTCTACATAACGCGGTATTCGGTTGCAAAAAAAAATACTGTATATAGGGACAGTAAATCTCGATAGTTTAGTGAATAAAATTCATCCGAATACGCCGTTATAATAAAGAAAAAAAATATAAATGAAAACTTGAAAAATAAAACATATTGTCTATACGATTTGCTCTAGAAGGCTCAAATTTTGTGGGAAAATGTATTGTACAAAGCCACATAACATATATTTAATCAAAACAAAAAAACATGTTGAATAGAAGAGTAACATTGTTTTTTTGAAAATTCCGGATCGATATAGGGTTAACTTTGATTTTTTTTTCTCGAAAACTACTTATCGTAGAATTTTCCCAGTATTTTTTCAGAGCTTATAATAGCTTAATCTATAGAAATTTGGGATAAAAAGGGCATGTCACAAAATCGAGGTTCTTAAAACATTGTGCTACGTCATAAATCGTAAACCGCAATTTACCTTTCATTTAATCAACTCAAATATAAAAAATAATAAACTTTTAATATTTTGTTACTGCTACGGAACCCTTCATGAGAGAGTCCGGCTCGTACTTGGCCGCTTTTTATATTTAGATTACCAACGGTCGAGTTGGATATGTTTTGTATTATCACACTGGGTTTAATATTTGTATTAAAACATTTTTTATGAAACGACGGAAGAATTCAGTTTTGCACTTAATTAATTTGCAATTTGAATTATTTACCTGTTACTGTTTATAAGACTAAGCTGATTGTGTAAGCTGTGGATAGTGTATTTCACTGCATGTGTGTTATTGAAATTAACAGTAATACTATTTTATATATGGTAAATGTGTAGTTGTTAACTATTCCCAATAAAAGAAAAAAAAGACAGCCCAATAATAAACGGACAGATAGACGACAGCTAAGGCTTAGTATTAGTTTAACGTTGTCACCTAGTATTACTGTCAAAATAAAGATAAATATATTTGCTGATTCGGACACGCTTCGATGAACACGGCTTATATAAAATTTCACACACACATTTCACAATATAGTACAGTACAGGCGCTTCGATTGAGTAAAATGTTAGCCATAGTATTGTTGTGCGCCAGCACATTGCTGCCTGCGTCGGAGGCGCAAGAATCGAAGTTGGTGCAGATAAACCAGGGTCCAGTTATTGGACATAAGGCGCAGGATGAAAATGTTTTCGTTTTCAACAGTATTCCATATGCGACTGTACCTACAGGAGCACAACGGTTTAAGGTACGTTCACAAAAGAGTAAATATTTTTATAACTAGTGGGTGCCCGCGACTTCGTCTGCGTGGAAAAATTAGTATCCCATTTAAACTGCATAAATTGAAAACGATATTTAAAACAAAAAAAAATTAAAACTGCATTAGCTCCGTGTTATAATAATATTGCTTTTCATTAAATTTTCATCATCATCAGACACACACACTGCTGGGCACAGGCCTTCTCTATCGATGGGATAGAAAGAATTGGTCAGTGTGGATCGGTGGGTGTTAACGGCTGTAGATGCAGCCGGGGCACGCCTTTCGTACGGATGAACTCGAAATAATTTTGATCACACTTTTAATTTGCGAAAGTTCGCAGACCGAATGCCCTAATTTCTGCTCAATCGCAGACAGAACGTTTTAATTGAATGTTTATATTACATAACCAACAGATAGATTAGGCAGGTGACGCTAAATAAAAGCTTGTAATAAAAATTATGTAAGAATTTACTTATGATAATAACATAAAAACTGACTATTGAAATAAAAAACCACTTAAAATTATAAAAAAGTAAGTAGGTAGTTATTATTTAGACTAATATTTTAAAGAGTTAAAGTTTGTGTATTGTCAGTTGACGTCGACGTGACGTCGTAGGGGAATTCTCTGGATCTAATGAACCGATTTTAAATTAGTACATTGTTCACCGAGAGGAAAAAAGGCCCGATTACCAACTAGGGTGTAGTTTGAAGCCCGAGGCGCAGCGAGACCATAATACACACGAGTTGGGAATATTAAATGAAACAATTTCAATGGGTTAAATGCACTGAATTTATTTATTTATTGCTGTTTCACATCCTTTGCAGGAATGCGTCTGAATAATGTTTTTTTTTATTTACTTTGTCGAGCTACCTTGGAAGGACTTGGGAATATTACTTTCTTTCAAGTGATGCATAATGCTATATACTGTACCTGCGAGGAATTAAAAGACAAATTCTTTAATTAAAATTGATATTAAAGTTGTTACAGTTACCAAACTTTTACATGGGAGCTTTATATTGGTTTCTTGATTTCACGGGTAAAGGTTCTCAATGACTGCTTAGGTAGTTTCTTTTGATTCTGGCAGTGTCAATAAATCTTCATTTTTCAGTATTATACCGTCTCGAATAGATGGGAAAACAAATTATAAAACTCAGTTAATAATTAAAAATGAAATAGCGCAATTTTAACTTTTTGTTCTTTTTAGGGTTCCGTAGTCCTGACAAGGAACCCTTATAGTTTCGTCATGTGCATCTGCCCGTCCCCGGTTTTGCTTGGAGAATATTAGCACTAGAGAGCTGTGATTTTGTGGAGATATGTATATCGATCACGCCAACAAAATGGTAGAATAAAATTTTGAAAAATATTTTTTAGGGTAGCTCTCCTGCATGTAACCTGGGGATCTTTTTTTTCATCATCTATCCTGAATAGGTCCTTATAATTACTGGGGGTTGTATTTTTCGATTTAGGGATCCGTTTGAGAAATATTGAACTTTAAAGTGATAATTTTTGTTCGAGTAGGGCGACCCCTCTTTCAGCTAAACTATTAAACATTAAAAAGAACTCAAAAAATTCATGATGATAGTGCTTTTCATGAACTTTTAAGGAAAACTATAATGGTTAAGATAGATTTGTTAGTTTAAGAGTCGTTCAACTTTGGTTAAAGAAAATTTCTTATCTATTGAAAATTCATTAGAAGAATGATATTTTACTGTGGTTTTAAAGTAGTTTTTTTAGATTTTGTTACAAACCAATGTTTTTACGGTATAATAATAATAATAATATTCTTTATTGACATACACCTCACAGGACATACAAGACATTAAACATGACAGTGAAAACGTACACAATAGGCGGCCTTATTGCTAAACAGCAATCTCTTCCAGGCAACCCATGACAGTGAAATAAATAAATAAGAGGAACAAGAAGGGGGGGTGTAGTAGGTATGGTAAAATAAATAATGAATAATAGATGTAATAGATATATACAAAGTGAGAGACAAGAGAGAGGTAAGTCTTAAAGTTGGGAAAGGAAATAACCTCTAACTTGATCACTAAACGAGCTTAGAGTGCGAGCCTTTCGGATTGTTTCAGGTAGTGAGTTCCACAAGCGAACAGAATGCACAGAGAAGGAATATGAAAAGAAATCAGTTGAATGGAGTGGGACTGCAAGGGTTAGATTTGAAGAGGACCGCAAAGTGCGTTCTGATTTGGAATCAAGAAACGAGAAACATTCTTTTAGATAGGGCGGAGAAGTAGGAAGGAAAAGTACAGAATAAAGAACCGTAAGAGTGTGTAAGTCCCTGCGTCGGCGAATAGGGAGCCATTTTAGTTTGTGTCGAAAGTGAGACACATGGTCATATTTACGTAGATTAAAAATGAATCTGATACACATATTCTGCAGACGTTCCAGCTTGTTTAGGAGTTCCTCAGATATGTCAGTATAACAAACATCAGCGTAGTCGATAATGGAAAGTAAAAGTGTCTGAGCCAAAGTGACCTTTGTACTTGTTGGAAAAAAATTATGCAACCGGTTTAATGAATTGTATGCGGCAAATATTTTCTTTCTTACCGCTTCCACCTGTGGTTTCCACGAGAAAAACTGATCAAAGATCACACCAAGATTTTTCACCGTACTAGAGAAAGGGATAATAGTACCATCAAAGATAATAGGGGGCAATACTCCAAAATCAATCCTGGAAACAAAGTACGGACTGCCTATTATAATAGTCTGCGTTTTTGAAGGATTTACAGTAAGGCCGAATGACTTAGTCCAACTACTAATTATAGCTAGGTCTGAATTGGTAGTTGCTATAGCGTTTGAGATATCAGATAGCGATGCTTGAGTGTAGATCTGTAGGTCATCAGCGTAAAGGTGATAGGAACTGGAAAGTATTTGTGAGATCGAATTTATAAAGAGAGAAAAGAGAAGAGGAGATAAGACGCCACCCTGAGGAACTCCGGCATTGATAGTGCACCACGCAGAGAAGTTGCCTTCGATGCAGATGCGCTGCCGGCGTCCTAGCAGGTAACTTTGAAACCAATCAATAGCCGCTGGAGATATGTTAAGAGAACGTAGAACAGCAAGAAGAATATCAAAATCAACAGAGTTGAAGGCGTTGCTCAAGTCAAGCAACGTCATCAGTGTAAGTTGACGATTCTCCATACCACATCGAATGTCATCCGAGATCTTAATCAATGCAGTAGTAGTGCTGTGACCGGTACGAAAACCGGACTGGAAGGGGTTTAGAAGTTGGTTTTGGTTAAGAAAACTTGTAAGTTGCCGATAAACTAGCTTCTCCAGAACTTTGGAAAGAAAGGGAAGGATGGAAATGGGACGATATTCAGAAAAAGAGCCTGGACTGTTTTTTTTAGGAATTGGGATAACGTTTGCATCCTTCCAAGATGCAGGAAAAACTCCGGTCAAAATAGAAGTATTTAGGATGTGGGTAATAATGGGAGTTAGAATTTCAAGGATGGGAAGGATCATTTTCCGGCTAATAGAATCACAACCAATTGCATTGGAATAAATTCTTTGTATGGTTCTCTTAACATCACAGTCGGCAAACTGATGTAAGAAAAAAGAAGAATCTTGAGTCGGCAAATTAGAAAGAAATTGCAATGTTTCAGCTTTGCGGGATGCATCAAGCGGCATAGAAGTAGTGAAGTAACTATTAAGTTTGTCAATTTCTAAATTATTAGTAGGAATAGAATTACGGGATTTGCCGACCCCTAGAGATTTTAAGAATTTCCAAACTTTTGCAGGATCTTCATTTTCGACAGATCTGTGAATATAGCGTCTTTGAGCGTCCCTTATCACAGTATTGCACCTATTTCTGATACGATTATATTTAATTTCATTTTGCTTCGAGGGATTAATCTTGAACCTTGCTTTAGCAGTATTTTTCTTAGTCATTAGCCCGCGGATCTCTTCTGATAACCATGGAGCCGGCAGGTGCTTAATTTTTACCGGTCGAACGGGTGCATGCACGTCATACAACTTAGTGAGTAGCGTATTAAAATGTTTTTACTTGCTCATCAACAGACTTAGAAACGAAAATCGCAGACCAATCCATATTGACAGCATCTTCAAGGAGACGTTCCTGATTCACTCTTGAAAAGCTACGCTGAAGTTGAACTGTGGGCTTTAATTTAGGAGTACGAATCCTATACGATAGGTATATCAAATCATGATATGAAAAAGCGTCTGCAGAATATTGACCGTGCTTAGCGGCGAATGTGGGTGAAGAGACGATCATAAGATCAAGCAGAGAAGGAGTGCAATTAGGAAAGTGGTGTCTTTCATTTAACGGAAGGATATGTAAATTTGATGAATCAATCACCGAAAGTAATTTTTTGGAACGAGAATCGTCTTTCATTAGACATGTGTTGAAATCCCCCATAATAATTGTATGGGAATACGAAGGAACGAAATTTTCGAGTAGCTGTTCCAATGACTCGAAATAATCTACTCGAAGTGAAGGGCTGTAGAAAACACCAAGAAGAACTTTAGTATGGGACAAGGATATTTCAAGCAACAGATGCTCAGCACTGTTAGGGGGCGGCGGTTGTGAGGATCGACTAAGGACGGAAAAAGAGATGTGAGAGCGAAGATAAATAGCCACCCCCCCATGCGAGGAACTTACACGATCGTTACGTTAACCTTATATTTAGTATATAGGAAGCGGCATTAGATAGGTACAATATTACTATTATGAAAAATGACTAACACCCATCAAATAACAAATTACAAGAAACACTATGTCCATGCATTGCGATCATTTAGATAATCATCAACTTTATAATAGCCCTTATTCATAAGAGTATTCTTGATCTGAGATTTAAATTTGGTCAATATAAGCTCAATCAGATCTTGGGGAACTTTATTAAACAATGCAATACTACAACCCAGAAATGAACCTCTTGATTTTTGGAGTCTGAAATATGTAACGGCAAGCTTGTTCTTAAATCTCGTGTTAAAGTTATGGGTGTGACTTTTTTTGCAAACGCATCATAGTTTTTTCTTACATATATTAAATTTTCATAAATGTATTGCGACGCCAGTGTTAAATTTCTTTAAATGTTTCTCTAAGGGATTCTCTTTCTTCAGGGATGCCTTTAAATTGTATATGGCGCGAGCAGCCCTCTTTTGCAGTATGAAAATATTTTCGCGGGGCTGAGCCCCGCAACAAAAGGCCATATGACATAACACTATGAAAGTAACTAAAGTGAACTAATCTTGCCGTTTCCACATCAGTTAAGATTTAAAATTTGTTATTTTTTAACAGCGCAAGCTGCAGAGCTCAGTCTACTTGACAAGGCATTAATATGAGGATCTCATTGCAGACGAGAGTCTAAAGTAGTACCCAGAAACTTTGTAGAATCCACTAACATTTATTTTTATACTTGTATTAACCTGCCTCACATTAGATAGAGTAAACTTAACATGGTTTGTTTTACTGAAGTTAAGTTTTAAATTATTTACCGTAAACCAATGAAGAACTTCAGAGAGAGCACAATTTACTTCGTCATAACAATCATTTCCTCTTCTAGCTTTAAACACTAAAGAGGTATCATCGGCAAATAGTACTGTCTCACACAAATCTCTTGTAAAGTGAGGAAGGTCATTGATATAAATAAGGAAAAGCAATTGGCCCAATATTGAACCACGCCCATAGAAATGGGTGCTCCTATAGACTCAGCTTCATTTATAACTACTTTCTGAATCCTAGCAGAAAGATAATACTGTATCAGACTTAGTTAAATATTTATTACTCCATAATGCTTCATTTTATTTAATAACGTTTCATGGCTAACGTAGTCAAACGCCTTTGATAAGTCGCAAAATATGCCAATAGCATCGTGTTTACTCTCCCATACATCAAAAATGTATTTGAAAAGTGCAGTTCCAGCATCAGTAGTTCTTTTGCCTCTAGTGAAACCAAACTGTTTTAAATGAAATAGCTTATTTATAGAAGCTAGCTAGTAATTGGATGTAAATTATTTTCTCAAATACTCTACTTAGCGCTGGTAATATAGATATAGGAATAAATTGCTGGGATCTGATTTGTCACCAGCCTTAAACAGAGAGATAACTTTAGCATATTTCATTAGATCTGAAAACACTCCCTCATAAATACATTTGTTAAATATGATGGCCACTTGAGGCGCAATGACAGTGATAATCAGTTTTATTATATATGTTAATATTCCCCAATAATCTTCTGTCCTTTTAATATTAATTGAATTAAAAGTATTTATAATACATTCACTACTGATATGTCTAAAATGAAAGTCATTACTGCACTTATCAACACTTGACTCAAGGAGGGTCATTGCTAACCTAGAACAAGAATTAAGATTACAAGTTGTTTCAAATGGTGCACTTGAAAATAAATTTTCAAAAGTGTTTGCAACGGCATCATCTGACCGAATAATCTACTTGTCTATTTTTAAAGAAAATGTGTGTTCATTAAACATATTTCTTCCAGTTTAATTATTAGTTATATTCCAAGTTGTCTTTATTTTATTATCGGAAAGACAATTTTTTTTTTAGATAAAAACTTAGCTTTCGCTATGGCACACACCTTTTTAAAAGTTTTTGAATATTTTTTGACATATTCTATAAACTTAGGATCTGATGAGGTTGCATTGAGAGCATATAATTGATACAACTTATTTCTACTTTTGTAAATACCAGGTGTGGCCCAATCACTAAATTACTTTTTAGAGCTATGGCATTGCGTTTGAATATTTTATTAAATTCATCTTTAATTAGATTGAATAAATTTTCATACAAAATATTGCCTATTATTATTAGAAAATGGTAAGTACGATATTTTGTGATAAACGCTATCTTTAAATTTATTTATACCCGTTTTTGTAATTGGTCTATAAGTTAGGTCATGTTTGGGTGAAGCATGATGGTGTTCAATATAGGCTAATTGTCCGCTATGATCAGAGTTAACACAATTTATTATTGATTTATTAAAAACATTTCTATTACAAAACATAGTGGATTCTGTGAAATAAAATTGGTGTGATTTTGTGTTACAACCGTCTGCGCAACTGAAGATTAATGGAATTTTTAAAATAACATTATTCCGGTCAAGTGCACGTGAGAACTTTATTATAGGTATTACATTCGTGCGGATTGGTATTACAACTCATGACTATATGTCGTTAACTGAGTCTTCAAGAATTATTTTTAAATTATTATTATCTAACCACTTATTAACTGATGTCAAAGAATTCTTAATGTCATGTTCCTAAATGTCAGCAAAAAGAGTAATTGGATAATCCACTGATTAAGGTAGGTCATTTATATAAACAGTGGACCCCGTACTCCCTTGAGATACTCCATATTCAACTATGCGCGTTTATGAGTAGTGATATTCTTCTAAACCCGATTTAGGATTAATTGGTGAGATCACAGTATACTGTTTCCTATTGAGAAAATAACTTTCAATTAATATCAATTTATTTCTTTTAATGTCATACGCGTCAAATTTTAAATAAAATGTCATGTTTTTACGTTGTCAAAAGACTGCGCCATGTCACAAGATATTACATCATTTAAAAATTTAAATGACGCTTTGTTAATATTTTGTTCGTGGCACACATTATTTTTGCGTTCTTTCTTTATAGCTATATTTTTCGAAAATTTTCTACGTAACTGGATTAAGAGCAATTAGTCTATAGTTATTCATCAATAATTTGTTTCCTTTTTGCAACAATAGTTTAATTATATATATTTTAAGCTCATCTGGATATATACCAGAAATAAAGCTCAAATTAATTATAAAACTTAAATGTCCACTTATCAGATTAACTGGATTAACTGTCTTAGTCGATATGCAATCATGTCCTTCACTATTATTACTTTTCAATTTTTTTTATAACGGAAACAAGTCAAAATGCTTTCAACATTGTATCGAGCTATAAAAGGTAGAATGATGACTATCCTATCCTTTTGGATAGGATAATCATATAACATAATCATAATAAAACAAAAGTAAATGTTAAGAATATTATTTATTTCCAGGCACCTCTCGCCCCCCCAACTTGGGTAGAACCTTTTGATGCAATAGACAAAGGTATCATCTGCCCTCAATTTTCAGTTCCAGCAGGTAAAACTGCTCAAGAAGACTGTCTCGTCGCTAGCGTTTACGTGCCTAATACAAATAAGACAAATTTACCTGTGATGATAATCATTCACGGAGGACAATTCCTCGTAGGCTATGGAGATGTAACCACACCCAGACAATTGGTAAACTCACAAAAAGTTATAGTGGTGACATTCAATTATAGACTGGGCATTCACGGTTTTTTGTGTTTGGGAACTAAAGATGTACCCGGAAATGCTGGAATGAAAGATCAAGTTGCATTACTGCGGTGGGTAAAGCAAAATATAGCATCCTTTGGTGGGAATCCTGATGAAGTCACCATCGTTGGATGCAGCGCTGGCGGTTCCTCCGTTGACCTCCTGATGATCTCGAAGCTTACAAAAGGCTTATTTAAAAGGGTCATAGGAATGAGCAGTGCCAATGTCGGAGTAACGAGCGTACAACTTGATCCTGTAGAATACGCTAGAACTCAGGCAAGAAGGTTTAATTATGATGCAGCTAATCTTCACGACCTCGAACAATTTTACAAGAATGCTTCGTCCGCATTACTTATATCTGATCCTCCAATATTTAATAAAAATTCGAGTGTCGGTTTCACACCTTGCGTAGAGCGGGACATAGGGCAGGAAATGTTCCTGGAAGATAGCCCTTTTAACATATTAAAGAGCGGCGATTATGTTAAGTATCCGGTTTTATATGGATTCACTGAAAGAGATGGTTTATTTAGAATAGATTACTTTGATACGTGGAAGAATGATATGAATAAGAATTTTTCAGAATTTCTTCCCGCCGATTTGACATTTAAAGATCCTATTATAAAAGAATTAGTAGCTGAAACAGTGAAAAAGTTTTATTTTGGCAAGCAAGTAATCGGTAATAACAATGTTCTGCAGTACGTTGATTATTTCACGGATGTGATATTCGCATACCCAATGCTGCGTTCTCTTAATTTGCAAGTCAATGCTGGCAATCATAAAATGTACCTACATGAATACTCTTTTGTTGACAATGATTCAGCGTTGATACCGTATGCCAATATAAGAGGAGCAGCACATTGCGCACAAGGCTTTGCGGCTGTTGATCAAAACTATTCGAATTTATCAGACCAGTACAAGAATATGAAATCAATAATAAGAGAAGTGTGGATCAATTTTGCAACAACAGGGTAAGAAAGCCTTCTGTTTATTTTTAAGTTTAATTATGCCGGGATCTAATATAAAAAGCGTTTTATAGGGGAATTACCACTTTTGTTCTCATTTGGCTAATTGTGTGAGATCAGGAGCTTCTTTCTTTTGGTACCAACAAGATATAAACATGTTGCAATACTGTATTGCAGTATAATATTGTTTTTACGTTCAAAACATAAAACGATTGTTGATGATGATTATTTCTTACGGCCTGTGAAGATTTAAAATTTTACACTTGTAATCTTGCAGAAATCCCGCCCCCGAGGGTTCTACGGCGTTACCTCGATGGCCGCCAGCGAATGCAAACAGATCTCCGTGCATGGAATTTGGACAAACCGTGGAGTTGAAACCAACAGTTATACCGCTACGCGCAACATTATGGGATCTCATATACGCATTATTCTATCGTAACCCGATTCCACCCACGCCTGGGTTTTGAATGATTCACTTCTAACTGAAGTCCGAGACGGCAATTTTATTGAAACTGTCTTCATAATCTTTGTTAGTTTTACTTGAATTTCTATATGAATTATTATTACCTTATTGTTTTTCAAACTATTAGTCTGAAAATTTTTAGATTATAAGTTGGTGATAGTTTTACTAACAAAAGATAGAACACTAAATGTTGCTGTACCGTACCTAACAAGAACAACAAATAAAAAAAAAATTAAAATAAATATGCTTAAACCTAATTCAGTATTTTAATAGTGGTCGATCCAATTATTTATTTAATGTATTTTTTGGACATTTGATTTGATAAACGGTTTAAAATATGAAACCATGTAAATTTTGAAGAATGAAATGAGCAAACTGACAGACTTGACTTTCAGTTATTATCAAAACTTTGTTTTTATATTTTTTTTATTTATTTCCTAAGAGATAAGCATAGGGTGAGAGGTAGAACTTTTATCATTTTTATGAAGAAATTCATGTTTTTCATAGATCCATGTCCATAGAATACTATGGAACTTAGGAGTAAAATCAGATCAGATAAAATTTTGACAATTTAATGTTAAAACTGATACGTAAGCTTAAGTATTAATAAAAATGTACTGCAATGTTTCTATGGGCATCCATTCCCTTAGTTAAAATATGGGGTTAAATTTTCAATGGAACCGTCAGCGTCACTTTGAAGAAAGAAACTTAAAAACTGATATGTGAAGGTATTAAGTTGGGGTTAAAATTTGAGCCGAAATTTGTAATTCACGCGTTTGAAGTCGCCGGCATAAAACTTGTATCTTAATAGTTGTTTGAAGCAATAAAAAAAAACAATCAATAAGCCATGCTATGAAACCTATACAAATATTACACGAAAAGTAATTATATTTGTCTATCTTTCAGTTCATGTATAAAATAGGTTAACGCTTAAACTACTTATATTAACAATTTTGATGTAGACATAAAAGGGACTTCGGAAAACGACATAGATTCGATTAGTCACAGTTTTTTTTATTACAAGGAGTGAATAAATAAAGGATGAAAGTTGGTAGAAGAAACCAATATTTGTAAACGAAGTTCTGGACGTTAGTTAGACGTAAGTAGGACTTGTTGGCTTTAATTGTGGGCCCCAAAATTTGTGTTTTCAATAGCAGAGTCGAGTTGAATTGTTTACCTAGGACAGTAGGTTTTCCCTCTCGATGCGGAGCATAGTAGCGAGACGGCTTGGAAGGAGTCGCCTCTCTCTGTGATAACGTCATTTCAAAGAAGGAGGAGGCCGAGAGGGAACAGCAGGACAATCATCTGGCCGTCCCCTACCACCGCAATAGAACAGGCACGGAAAGGCGAAGGTGCGCGCTGGCTGCGCACGTGCAGTGACCCCATGTAATCAAACGCCCGGCATGGCGTTAGCTGTGCCAGCCACCGATGGATTCTGTGGGGGCAGCTATCTTTTGTACCTAGCCTACATGAGAGGGCCGCGGAAGGGCCTGCGAGGGGAACTGCGCAGTCCTTCCACAGCGGACTGGGAGCGGTGCGGTGGGCAATAGGCCGCGCACTTAGCTCTCAACGCGGGCCTATCTACGGGATCACCCGCGATACCCTCGGGTGATCCCTGCCGAGGAGCCCCAGCATTAGGCTGGGAGGCTGTCATATGTGGGGATATGGTGAATTTCCCAATCGGGGATCCCATGGTTCCGCAGATTACAGCTGAAGAGGGTATTCGCAGGGCTTGTAGCGTATAGTATGCTACAGGCGCTCGTAAGACACGCGAACTGCTTAACGGCTAGTCCTCGTTTCGCACTCTTGACACTAGCAAGATGGTAGGTGTGAGAACGTTCGCTGGCGTACCCCTTAAGGGCGCCAGTGCCTGTAAATAGAGAAGTTTCTACTTAAGTAAGTACCTAATTGAAAAGTTGGCGAGTTTTTGCTCCTAATTCATTATGTAGGTAAGTACTATTGCAGAAGACTGGGCAATTGTAAATCAAATAATTGGAAAGATCAAAAGATTTTGACCTCATACCGCGAAGAACATGGATTCCCCACCGCCACAAACAACATTATCACCAGTGTTAAGGTAGGGAAATTTCTATCTGGACCTTAACACTAATATGACACTAGCGTTGCGTATGGGAACCCTGTCACACCAGTGTGAATGTCGGAATATTGAAATTGGTACGAGGTTCACCCGTATTTACACTGAACCTTGAAAGTGTGTCAGTGTGATGGTTGAAAAAGCAAATTCCTCACCTTAATACTGATGTTAATGTTTGGTGTGATATTCGGGAATGCATGGCGAAGAGCAGTATGCTATGTTTTCACCCATATATCGAGAGTCGGGGTGACCCACGGGTGGGGATTGCTCAACAAGGCCTATAATCACTAGTGGGGGTTCAGTGGATTATTTAACGTTATTATATTAATTAAAAATAAAATAATATGTCAACTTTAAAGATTCAATCAGAACAGCTAGAAAGTGTCAAGTGTAATAAATGTATTTAGTTGCTAGGCACTGTATCTTCTAACTTAGTTTGACAATTTTTTTAGACGCTATTATTAAGATTGTAGGTAACGGCATAATAAAATGTAGGTTCAATAGGAAAATAGGAGATTTAATCAATTATTTTATTTTATGCATTTAACTGCGGGATGTTCAAATCTAAAGAAAATATTACTAGAAAAAAACCACTCAGTCAAAGTTTCAGATTGGACTAGTAACATTTTCTTTAGATTTAAACATTCAGTAGTTGAATGCTTACAATAAAAATAAAAATAAAATAATCGATAAAATCTCCTATTTTCTTTTTTGAACCTCAATTCTCTGCATTAGCCAACCGACATACTTACGTCGTTGCCCGTAGTCTCTCATTGGGCGCTAACAACGGTTGCGTTGTATTGTATGAAAAATCGTCAACATCATTAGTTTATTAATGTACCCACTGCTGGGGTTTGCCTTCATTACGGATGGAATAGGGGGATTGATCTACCACGAGGGCCTAGTGCGGATTGGTGGGTGCTAACGACTGCAGATGCAGCCGGGACCAACAGCTTAACATGCTTTCCGAAGCACGGAGGAGCGCGAGATAGTGAATTTTAGTCGGCCACTCACTGACCGACCAGTGATATGATACAAAAATTTGATGCAGGCTCGTCACGTAGCGTTTACGATATTATTGTGACAGGTGACTAATCCTGGACTTATCAATACGATCCAGAAACAAAGCGTCAGTCGACAGTTTGACTGTTTCAAAATGAACCAACGCCTACGAAAGTGAAGCGATCGAGGAGTGCAGGAAAAATTTTGATAGCTAGTTTCTTCACTTACGGGGTATCTAATTTCAATTCCGTTTCGAGACCAAATGCAGCATCAATGCCGAATGTTATAGCACAAAATGCCTGCCAGAAGGTTTTAAACAACGGGTTCCTCGGGGTCCTTCTTGACCACGACACGCACTCGCGCACTCTGCGATCAAAACGAAGGACTTCCTGGACTCCACACTAGTCAGAGTCTTGGAACTGTAAGGAGGGTTCCTTACAGTCCTGATTTCGCTCCGTATGACTTCTTTTTATTCCCTAAAATAAAAAATCAGCTCAAAGGGATACAGTTTGCATCGCCGGAAGAAGCGCTAGCAGCGTTTGAGAAGGCCGTAGAAGAGGTGTCTGCAGAGGACTGGAAAAAATAATTTGAAAATTGGTTCAGACGCATGAAACTTTGTATAGAGGCTGGTGGACAGTTCTTTGAACACACTTAATATATATAAGGATATCGCTATATGCTATATATAGCGACACCCCTTTCTAACTATGCTCAAGACTATATCAATCACTGAGAATCTTTCTATAATACGGGCCTGAGTGTCCCTCATCGTACATCTAATACTATCGCTTGTTGTCGATTTTCTAGGTATGATTGTAACAGCTTAATAGCGTTACCATGAATTCCAACATGATACAACTGTTTTAGTAGAATTTCATGTTGGACGCAGTCATGCATGAATCTTTTTAATTAACGGATGTCCAAATCTGTTTATACATTCTAAATATAGCTAATGTAGTATTTTTATTTTTTTGGAACCCATATGGATTTTCATGTAAAATATTATGTTTATTAAAAAAGGCACTAATTCGATTGAAAATAATCTTTTCAAACAATTTAGAAAAGTTGGATAACAGTGCATAGGTCCTTAGATCAGTTCTGAACAAGCAAACATTTGCTCGTCCAGAACTGATCTTTGCTTGAGACGCAGCACAAGATTACACAAAACTAAATTGATTACGGCGCGGCAGCAACTTTAGAAAAACCGTCATACAAGTAGCTGTAGTTTAAGTTATTAATACAGAGATTGAGATTGTAACATGTGATGTACGATGCAGATTGTCTTTAATGCTCACGGTGATCGTTGGTCTATGTTTCACAATATACTTGATGATTAAACGAACTTACCTTAGTGAAGTTCAATCATAATTATACGAGGTCTTCATCCGAAGAGATTAGAGAACAATGTGTAGTTTCGCGTAGCGACCTGCTAATCGGATACTAAAGTTTAAAATATATTTAAAATTAAAAAATAATAAAATAAGATTTTTCACAAAAAATGTGCAGATATTTCATTTTTATAATAGTGGCAACACCAACTTCACGACCTAGCGGGTATTACTTCAAACCTCATTTAGTTTAAAGCCATACATAGTACACAATTAGGAAACATAATAACAGGGCTACCATAAGCCAATTTCAATTGTCTCTATGAGTGCCACCGTGTTATTATGTTTCTTGATTTTTAATTAAAATAATATTTCAAAACAAGGGTATTATGGGTGGGATGAGTTCTAATCTCTTCGGATGAAGACCTCGTATAATTATGATTGAACTTCACTAAGGTAAGTTCGTTTAATCATCAATTATACTTTGTTCTTCATCCTCGAGATTAGAGAACAATGTGTAGATCTTGAGAGCAAATGGAATATTATTTTAATAAAATTGCAAGGTTTAAATCATAATATTTATTTTTCTTTAATTTGGACAATAATAGTATATTTATTTATTAACAGTCAGCCCATTTTAGGCGCTATTATAGCTATTAAAGCTTAATCATCTGGGGTTACATAGTTATTAATTTAAATCACAATACTAATTTTATATGATTATTGAGACAAATTATTGTTTAAAATTGAAAGGGCAAAATCATTTGTATCTGGATTTTCAGTTTGTTTATTATAGAATTTTCCAAATACATTTGAACTTCCACTCCACCCGGCAGTACTTCTGATTAAATCAATGTTCACTCTGAGTCTGCTGGGCAAATTTCAGTTTTTAATTCGTAGAGTGGAATGCTGAGACATGGTTGGTGAGCTCCTAATCTAGAGGTCTTAATCTTATCAGGTATTTGAATGCGAATCATTTTAGAGCAACTTTGTATATTACGAATTTTTATCAACGTTAATGTCTGAACTCTATGTGCCGTAATAAGTGCTAAAAGAGTCACCGTTTTCTTTGCTAATTGTTCAATAGGTAGCTCATGGTTGGGATATAGGTTGGATAAGTAATCAGTACAATGGAGGTATCCCATGTAACCTTGTATTTGGGTAAAGGAGTTCTGAGTCTATAAAACCCTTTAAATAATCTATTAATACGATCGTCAGATTTCACTCTAGAACCTATCACAAGTGATAATGCGGAACGATAACTATTTAAAGTTCCATACTGCGCGCCTGTATTATATATATTAGTAAGAAAATATATAATATTTGGAATGACGCTTCATATGCATTTATATTATAAGATTCACAGAAACTAAACCAACGTTTAAAAGCTACAGTATATTGCATTAATGAACTAACAGATAGTGATGAGCAAATAATTTCTGAGGAGTTCGCTGGTACACCTCTCCTGGAAAATGCTTCCCTGATAATCTTCCGGCCATAACTTTGGGTTGCAGCAACGTCGAATTGCTGTTGGAGTTAGAAATTAAAGGTTTAGAAGCAGTTTCTAAGTAAATGGTCTCACCTACTAGAAGTTTATGAAATAGGGGGAACCAAGCTTGAGCAGGCCAGCAAGGGACCACAAGTATTCCTTGTGCCCTATCTGTTATACTCTTTATTGCATCATATAGTTAAAACATATAGTAAAATACATAGTAAGCAAAGGTGGGCTTATCTCTAAAAGAGATCTCTTCCAGCCAACCTAGGTGGTGTCGGAGATTCACAACTTAGCGGGAAAAAGAAAGTGCAATAAAAATTAAACTAAAAATAATTTATTACTACTGTTATAGGAAATAGACTTAATAAATAATAGTTATATATATATATTCTTAGGGATCAGAAGAGGAAATTATTAAAAAAAAAAACAGTTACACAAACCACCCTTTATTTCACCTTCATACAATTATTTT